CCCCCCCCCCCCCCCCCTTTTTTTTCTTGCAGAATTCAGTGTTTTGATTGGAACTGTTGTGACATGATTCTTTTACATTCTCGATGACAGAGTTTGAAAGGAAGAGATGAAGCACTTGACATGGCTGGAGGAAATTCACCGTCTGCTCCATATACCTTGGAGTCAGATACAAATCAATATCCTGTAGACCCCCCTGAGAGATACCCGATTCCTCAAGCTGAACTTTATGAAATGGATGATTCAGCCACTTTCTCTACAAATTACCTACACATGTCGATTGAAGAGAAGAAAGAGCATCTTGTGGTTGCTCGAAACAGTCTTGAGTTGCTTTCTAGCATATTGAATTCGGAGGCAGAGCCAAAACCTTTGAAGGTAAACATTTTGATGGTCGAGTAGAGCAACATTATCTCAATGCTTGAAGGTGTTTTTTCTATGTGTCCAGTCTTTCTTTTGCCTCTCTTTCCCCCCAATTAATACCGTTAGTGGCCTTGTTTGGATAAACATTTTAGTATATGTTTATACCAGAAGAAAATAAGAAGGTAAAAAAAAATAAAAATCAACTTCTCTCACAATTTAAAAATGAACTTATGCACTCTAATTTGTATAGAAACTCTAATCTAACTTTTCTAAAAGTTGGGGAGCATGAGTTGATTTTTACTTATGGAAGAAGTTTGATGTATTTTGTTATTTAGTTTCTTCTCTTTTAAGTGCTTATGGAAGAAGTATTTGCTGCTTTTTTTTTTCCCTTCTCTATGTGGCAGACAGAATAGTTGTTTAATGGTGGAATTTTCAATAATTTTGTGTGGCTGTAGGAAGATATAACTGTGAGCTTGTTGGACAAATGCAAGCAATCACTCTCTGTTATCAAGGGGATTGTAGAAGGCACTACAGATGATGAAGCAACGCTTTTTGAGGCTTTATATCTCAATGATGAGCTGCAACAGGTAGTGTCAAAATATGAGGAGTTAGAAGCTGCTCAAAGTTCTGGGGCACCACCATCTCAAAATGCGGACACTGCCAAGCATGATGCGGAACTTGTTCAAAACCGCAATGAACTACCTGAAAGTGATGAATCCGAAGCTGCTCAGAATCTGGATGGAAAGCTTCCTCAAAAGTTTAACACTCTTGAAGTCAATGCAACTGAGGTGGCTGGCCTTGCCGAAACTAAAGTAGTGGATGACACAAAGGAAAAGGGTGCTGAATCTAGTTTCAAGCAAGATACCAAATGAGGAAAGCGTAGTTGGCATATGCATGTTCTAGCATTTTATTTTGTCTTTGTCCATATCTTGTAATAAGCTAGTCATTCTGTGAGGGTGATTTACATTGCCCAGATATGTAAGTGGCAGGAGTTTTATCCCGATGATTGTGATATTTAATCCATGTGAGATCGTGCTAGTTTTTCATAATGTTAATGTAGTACACACATTTGATCCGATTCCATATATTATTAATGCGAGTGGAGGGGATGAAGTGGGGCCTATTGTTACTACATGGAGTTGGAGTGTGGAGAAAAGAAAACTGATAGTAGAAAACTGCTCAAACTATGATTTGGCCACCAGATGCATTAGCAGTAACCTGATCTATGATTAGAAAATGGGGCACAAAGGGACTGAGATTCTTTTTCTTTATTTTATTCGACATGCTTCTGTCATGAGGAAACATATATAGGATTTGGCGGCTTCTACAATTGAATTTGATCCAAAAATTGAGTTAATACTTAATACTCTTCTTTTGGTTTGTTCTTGTAATTTTTATTTAATTAAATTTGGTTATACACCGGTCGTCAAGGTTAGTTGCACTTGTCATTATAATTTATCACTTCGGATCTTGCTAGGACATTGGTTAAGGATTACTAAATAAATCAATTTAAATGTTTTTAATTACTTAAAAAGTGTTGAAATGCTTTTATATTAAACAAAAGCTTATTCCATTAGATAAGTTCGGCTACATGATTAATATGGACCATTAACACGGTGTTACTTAATCTGGTTAAAGACATAATTTATCGCGATTAATGATTAATATATATTTAGTACATCAATGAATTTTATGTTGGCTTTGGTGGTCTCAACAATCATCTTTTTGTGTTGCAGAAATGTAAGCACGACAAAATAGGCCGTGATGTAGAAATAACATAAAGAAGTAAGCAAAAAGAAAACAAGAAGGTGAGGATTGAGATCGTGAAACTTTCCCCCTCTTACTTTTTTTAAATGGAAAATAAAAGAAATATCACATTTGAATCATTCATTGTGAGAGGGAGGACTGAAAACGTTTTCATCGTCAAGATTCGCATCTTATTGGAGCTTTTGAATTATGATCATGAAAGCCATCACGAGTTCGCTGTCTGTGAATCTCTGTTTCCCCACGTTCTTGTGTTGCAACTTGCAAGTGATATTTATTGATAGTACATTAATTTCATGCAGACGCATTTTCCTTTGGACGTATGGCAGCGGATTTTGGCAGTTATCTATAATCTCTAACGATATATAAAAGAGATACATTCTTTTAGTAGATTATCTATAATCTATAACTTCCTACTTTCTTTTTCCGGGCGCACGAAGTAATTTTTTGTGTTACTGGTCGTTTGAGAATTGATACTTAAAAATTATTATGCAGAATTGATTTGCTTGAATTTCATTTTTAATATGTTTTGTTTCACGAGTTAAATAGAAATGACTACTTTGTTTAGTTTATGTTTTGTCACTGGCTTGTTGTACGGGATGAGTGGATGTTGATGTTTTTGTACGGGACAGCTTTCAGTCATATCCAATACACACTTATTTTGATTTGATAAATTCTCAGGTGCTTCAAGAGCAACTCTTGCCCTTGTGTTTCTAAATGTGTACCACATCAGATATAGCACACCGAATGCATTTAATTGGGAGATAGTGATGCTCACCTGGTTGATGTGATACACATTCAATAGAATAAAGCAAGAGAAATTTCTTGCTCTGGAAGCACATAAGAATTTCTTTTATATGAACGAATACAAGAAATTGTCTGCTAGACAATGAGCCGAATGAATGTAAACTCAGGAGAATCATTCATTAAACATAGGTTCAGAAACCGGCATGTGTGAATTGGTTGTAATTGACTAAACATACTTGCCATGCATGAAAAGGCTGGGAATATGATATGAATATATGATCTATATATGTGCCGAATGAATATCGACGCAGAGTCCTTTTTCGGTAAGGATCTTTTCAGTGTAATGAAAACGAAAATTGTGTTTAGTGGAGAGAATTTGGATTGCTATTTTGGAGTTACAAGGCTGAAGTATAGGTTTAAAATACTGGTGGGATACAAAAGGCACATTTTGTGACACATTGGTTATGCATATTGGACACTTTCTTGTGTGCTTTTTAGATTTTTCCGTTCAAATTGATGTACAATTATCGTGAAGGATTTAATTCATCTTGAGATATTTTATTTGCATTCAAATAAAAGAAGAAAAAAAAATACATTGGACATTTTTAGTTTCAAACTTCAACTAAGAGTTGCAGCGCAATATCAATAATTGCATATATATTTTTTTCATTTTCTCTGTGAACAAGCTTCTGATGTTTTAAGTTCTGAATATTTTTCTCGCTCTCTCTTTCCTACAGGAGTCAGTAAAGAGAATTGTCGGGCTGACTTGTTCAGTCGTTGAATATAGAAAACTGAAAAGGATATTTCATATTGCACAATGCGCATGACAACAGAGGACCTCAGTTTGAAAATTTTGAAATCTGCATGCATGCGAGAATTTTGAATCACTCCCTATATAATAAATACAAGCTTTTACCTTTTTCTCATATTGTTGCGTGGTTCAACTTCAAGAGGCTACCTTCTTAATTGACAGGTATTATGAGGTACATGCAAGAGCCATGCACACGCACTTGCGCTTTTGTGAGATCTGCATCTGTGTTGGTTGGTGACATCTGAAAAAGGTGACTTGCTTCGCATTATTCATTGATTGGAAGATTTGTCATTTTGGCATTGTTTCTGTCGTAATGTTGCTGCCATAAATCCATTGAAACTACAAGTTTCATAGCACACAATAATTTACTTTCTGCCATTGTTGGAGAAGTCTCACATTTGATCTGGCCAAATACCGTGAACCTATTTGCATTCGTGCTATAGGCCTAGGAGACCGAACTTGTGACCTTTATGTGGTCACTGGTCTACCAGATTTATTCTTATAGTTATAGTAAATAGTGCTCTCTCATAGCAGTTACTTTCTTCCATAAAACACATCTGGAACATATTTTGTAAGTTGAACCCTTTCCCCGGGGTCATGCATTGCTCACTGATCCATTGATCCAAAGGGTCCACAAGTAATGGAGCCACATTCAGAATAGGTTTTTTCTGTGTGGTTGTTAGTTCAGGATTAAGTGAAATGAGGTGGAGTCAGCGGACATGCGGGTGCTATGCTACTTGCTACCTACTACCCACATGTTAAGTTAGGAAATGATTTTGGTAACATAACGACACAAAATGATGGCCCTAGACGATACTTGCGTGTAGCGAAGAGTTTAATATTTATAAAGAGGGTACTTGACTCTTCGATTTGTGGTAGTTACTGACTCTAGTAAGTTGATGGTTGATTGGAGCCGCATTTTGTCTTAAACTTCATCACCTTTGACCTTTCCAAAGTGTTTCCATCTCAACTCTGGACAAAGTAATTTCACCTCAACCTTTACTAAATCTTTAATTTGGTGTTGGCCAAAACCATCTTCAGTTTAGCCTCGCCAATGCCTTTTAGCTCAACTTCAACTATAAGCATATTTAGCTTAGCCTCGGATAAATTATTTTCAATTTGGCCTTAGCCAAAATAATTTAACCTTGGTCTCAACTAGAACTTCTTCAGCTTAGCTTCGGCCTAAGCATCTCCAGCTCAACCTCTTCCACAACATAAAAGCTTATTTACAAAATCAATTTTAGGCTATGATATATAAGTTAGATAACCAGTTTTAGTTATAATCGATTATATAACTGATTTTAGATTATATAGTCATTTTTTAAAATTAAAATTGATTTTACCAAACAGAATCAGTTATGAAAAAATGGTTAAATTATGGTTTGGTTACAACATCCATTTGCCTTATATGGTTTTTAAAAGATTATAATTAGGTTATTCAAATAATCTAATCACGAACCCTGATTCCCAGGATTGTGTGACAAGGCAAGACTGGTGTGATGGGTGAGCATGTGGACCTTTCTAGTTACTTTCCTCGTAGCACATACAGGAGTAAGATTATCACATAGTCTAGGGTCTCAATGTAGGATGTTGAACTTGGCTAATTATTAATCGAGTTTCATAATTACCTAATAGTTCTAGGATGGATCACTGAGATGTTGTTCATGACTATTGGAGAGTATCCTGGGTCGAGTTTGTTGGATTGAACTTATTTGGAAGCCCAATTATAATGAACACTCATTGGTTTCTTAATTTAAGTTAAAGAGCATAAAAGGAAAACAAGCTTGCATGGGAGGGAATTCTAATTTCTACCTCTATGGGAAAGGTTTGTCCCCACTTTAAGTTCTTTATTCCACCTCATTTTTCCATCCTCACCGCCACCTCCTCCAATACTGCTTTTACCCCCACCTTCCTTTCCTATTTTCTACCTTTCAAGTATTTCTATTTGCCTACGACGCCCCTCTCTTTGTCACTACCTCTTTTACGTTATATCTATTCCTTCCATCGAAGCTTGTTAGAGCCTCTTATTACAATTCTATCCTAACCATTACATTTAGACAACATGGCTTTTCTTAGATTTGTTGCCTTTATGCGCGTTCTATTACACAAAATTACTTTACTCAAAACTATGCCTTTATGCGTTGTGAGTTGATTTTGAATCATTTAGGTTTGATAGAGTTGTTGATGAACATGTGCTGATCTATAAATAACAAAAGAGAAAATTATTTAGAAAAGTAATGATATTTAGACATCTTAATTAGTTTTTTTTTATAAATAAAAATCGGAAAGAAGCATGAAATTGAGTCTAATTTGTAAATAATCAGTCTATACCTGAAAGGTAAGAAAGGAATTCATGCATGGTCTGGTCCCACCTTCACAGTCCTCACCACTGGTTTCTGCTGCCATTTGCAATACAAACACATTTGCTGTTTGCCACGTAACAGGGATGCCGAATCCAGCTCAGCCCATGCACTTGGTGAGGTGTAACTCACTAGGCTTCCATAGCCATGCATGGTGAAGAATGTCTCATCCTCAGCACTCGACACCTGCGACGTGCCCCTCTCCTTCACCATCCTCTCTTACCTATAATGTATAAGACAGTTTTTTCTTTGTAAATTTAATGTACTTTTTTATTGTGTATGATTTGTAAGGGTTGGATACTCCTTATATTTTTTGTATTTTTCTTTATTAATACATTTATATTTTTTTCTGTAAAAAAAAAACCTATAAATCACCACACCTCAGGTTCTCCGTTTCACACCACAAACAAATTAACATTCTCTCCATTAATCATATAAGCTTCTTGATAAATAATCGATAAAATAACAAGATATAATTCTTTTTTATAAATATATCACTTTTAAATAAATATAAAATAATCTAATAGTATGCATCAAAGTCAAGGTTCTTACGATCTTTGAGTTATTGAGAAGGTATACATAGGAAATAATTTGCGTAATTTATAAATAGTCGGTCTATACATGAAAGGAAAGAAAGGAACACAAGAAGAAAAGAAATGAAACCATGCAAGGTCTGGTCCCCTCCCAGCAGTGGTTTGTGTTGCCATTTGCAATAGAAACAAGTTTGGTGTTTGTCACGTAACAGAGATGCGGAATCCAGCTGAGGTGAGGTGTGTACGTGTAACACACAAGGGTTCCATAGGCATGCATGGTGAAGAATGTCTCATCCTCAGCACTCCACATCTGTGACGTGTCCCTCCTTCACCTTCCTCTCTTACCTATAAATCACAACAACTCAGGTTCTCCGCTTCACACCACAAACAAATCAATCATATTCATATCCATGGCTAAGCTTCTTGCGCTATCTCTTTCCCATTGGGGTCCTTCGCTAGAAAAAAAAAGCCCCACCAGCCACAGCAAAATGAATATGAGTGCCAACTCCAACGCATGAATGCCCTCAAACCCGATAACCGTATAGAGTCGGAAGGTGGGTTCATAGAGACATGGAACCCTAACAGCAAGCCTTTCCAGTGTGCCGGTGTTGCCCTCTCTCGCTGCACCCTCCAACGCAATGGCCTCCGCAGACCATTCTTCACCAACGCTCCCCAGCAAATCTTCATTCAACAAGGTAAACCATCCTAGTTCCTTCCTTCATGAATCATGACATGTCATTGTGGAATCATATTATAATGTTTTCTGTGTAGGTAGTGGTATTTTTGGCATCATTTTCTCCGGTTGTCCTCAGACTTTTGAAGAGCCAACTCAAAGAGGACAAAGCCAGAAGCCTCAAGACCGTCACCAAAAGGTGTATCACTTTAGAGAGGGTGATTTGATCGCAGTGCCTACCGGTGCTGCTTTCTGGATGTTCAACAATCAAGACACTCCCGTTGTTGCAGTTTCTCTTATTCACACCAACAGCTTACAGAACCAGCTCGATCAGATGCCTAGGGTATTTTTCGCATATCTTATATATACATGCATATATATATATTATTCTTCAACTGCTAATCCTAATTAATACTAACATATTATACATGCCAGAGATTCTATCTTGCTGGGAACCAAGAGCAAGAGTTCGTACAATATCAGCAAAGCCAAAGCCAGAAGGGAAAACAACATCAAGAACAAGAAGAAGATAATGAAGGCGGCAACATATTCAGTGGCTTCACCCCAGAATTCTTGGAACAAGCGTTGAACGTGGACAGGAAGATAGTGAAAAACCTCCAAGGTGTGAACGAGGACGAAGAGAAAGGAGCCATTGTGAAAGTGGAGGGAGGTCTGAGCGTGACAGCCCCACCAACGAGAAAGCAGCAACAGAGAGCAGAGGAAGAGGAAGAAGATGACGACGATGAAGAGGAAGAGAAGCCACAGAAGAGCAAAAGCAAGAGCAGAAATGGCATTGATGAAACCATTTGCACAATGAGACTTCGCCACAACATTGGTCAAACTTCATCGCCTGACTTCTTCAACCCTCAAGCTGGTAGCATTACAACCGCCACCGGCCTTGACTTCCCAGCCCTCTTGCTCCTCAAACTCAGTGCTCAGTTCGGATCTCTCCGCAAGGTATTGAACAAATAATAAAATGTGTGAGTGTAACAAATTAAGTTTATGTATGCATAACGATCTTAACATGCAATGCGTGGTGCAGAATGCCATGTTCGTGCCTCACTACAACCTGAACGCAAACAGCATAGTATACGCATTGGAAGGGAGGGCGATGATGCAAGTGGTGAATTGCACTGGTGATAGAGTGTTTGATGGGGAGCTGCAAGAGGGACAAGTGCTGATCGTGCCGCAAAACTTTGCGGTGGCTGCAAAATCGCAGAGCAACAACTTCAAGTACGTGGCATTCAAGACCCATGATATACCTGTGACTGGCACACTTGCAGGTAGAAACTCTTTGTTAAACGCATTGCCTGAGGAAGTCATTCAACACACTTTCAACCTCCGTAGCGAACAGGCCAGGCAGATCAAGAACAACAACCCTTTCAACTTTCTCGTTCCACCTCCTCGTCACTCTCAAATGAGATATGTGGCTTAGAGCTATGCTTCATCTTTTTGCATCTGCTGTGCTACCCCACTACTGTCTTTTTGCCAATAGTGCGCGGATCAATAATCAAATAAATCAAAGGCTTAGCCTGCCTTTCCTTATATATATACGTGTGTAAAATAACGTGAGTCTATGTGTATCTATCCTCATGTATGAGTCACCAAACTTTTGCGGGAAAAGCATAAAATAAATAAGTGGAGAAACTAGCTCGATGAGTTTTCTGTCTATTCTTTTTCTTCCTTTGTTTCTTTCTTTTATCCTTCTTGCAAAACAAAAGGAAAATAATATATTGGTCCAAGTGTTAGCTAGCTTGACCCATGATCTTTCGGAAGTGTTGGCACTTGGCAGGACAGGACATGATATGGAAGAGTACATTAGTATCACACCCTCAATAAGAATTAATAAGTAAATAAATAAATAAATAAATAAATTATATATATATATATATATATATATATATACACACGAGTAATCTGTTCTGAGCGAAACCCCACGCATACATTCTGAGGTACGTGGGTGAATTTTTCAACTTTCCAGTATTTCCTTGATATCCTACAATTTTGACTATTGCATTAAAACATTATTATGAGTATTAAGGTGTTTTGAGGAAAATTAATTGTGCACAGAAACCACCCCTTCCAATGATCGATCGAAATTATTTCTGAAAATCCTTGTCCTCCCTAACACCTTCCATGCAAAAACTATCCCCATGTCTTCAAGATGCATCTCCCTGTGTGAAATCAATACATGTATGAGGGAGTAGATAGGTTTGTTCCCCGTGTTAAGTTATGATAAAATTAACAAAAGCACTATTTCAGGGATCGATACTCTCCCAGCAAGACCGGTTGAATTGCAAGAAGAATCTTATCTCAATGTGATCCTGTGTGTTCCTATTATGTATATAATAAAGACCCTCACAACAATGTTAGGCAAGTTTTTATGATTTGCCTGTAGAAGGGACTTCTCTGATCTAGTCCTATACACGATTCACACTCTGATATAGAACCAAAGATTATAAATTTTTTATTATTTTATTTATGAGCAAAAACAAAATATGTATTAGAGGTAAAGGGTATGGAAAACTGTATACTAAATGCTTTTAATGTGTATAGAACTGCGTTCAGATTATAATCCAACAAACAAAATATAATGGAGATTAGCGGTGTTATGATCCAAAAATGGAAAGAAATTTTAAAAGTTGTCCAAAATTTACTTACATATAACGTATCTTAGAGAAAAAAATTAAGTCAAAAGATGTAATTATTGTAAAACTATTGGACACTCAAGAAAAAGATGTTCACAACTTCAACATGTTTTTTTATATATATTTTATATTTAGATAATAAAAATTAAAAAAAAATCATATATTTTTAATATTTTAAAATATATTATATATTTAAATAATTTAATTAATATAATAATATATTTTGTTTTAATTTATATTTTCATATTTTAAAAAATATATTTATTATATTAAAAA